TTGCTAGCCATGAACCTGCTCTAACCTAAGCCGTGTCCTTACCTTGGCTGACCATGTACGGGCCTTAAACCAAGCCGTGTCCCTGCCCAACCTTGCCCCAACCCTAGCTAAACCAAGCCGTGTCCCTGCCCAACCTTGCCCCAACCCTAGCCGTGTCCCTAACATGGACAGAGTTCACTCATGAATGATGTGTGCAGCGAATCGGCCGCATGCTTTAAACAACTCAAGTCTTCAAAGGTAAAGATAGGACGGCCATGGACCTTGGCTGGGGCGCTCTTCTGGGAGCTTCACTTGCAGGGTGGTTGGCAAGAGATCTCTTGACAGCCCAAGGGCGAGTGGAATCAGTGGGGGCTCCCTGTACTTGCGTGTGCAAGTGCGCGCCAGAATCAGGAGATTGGAAGCCGCTTTGGATCCCCTTGTTGATTCTGTTGATCCTGCTCCTGAGCTTTGGGGCGTGGGTGGCAACTCGATCCATCCCAGTTGAACACGGCCCCCCTCGCAAAGGGAAAGGAGTCTACGGTCAATCCAGTAGGACTTTGCAGCTCACGCTATGAATCCTGGAGACATTGCCATTGTCAACTACGGAGAGAGACCTACCACCTGGCATATGCGGGTTCTGCTTGCTCATACCTCCCAGGACAACTGGGTCGTACTGACTCCTGATCATGATATCTATGAGGAGCAGATGAGCGGTGATAACCCGGACCTAACAGGTTTTCATCACTGTGGTGCCAACGGCTCTCTTCCGGCGCGCATCAATCCTCGCAATGTGTACGCTTTCTCTCCTTTGACTCCTCAGGCTCTTCGAGGCTACATGGCACAGGGCCAGGCTGAGGCTGATCGCATCATCGCTTCCGCTCTGCAAGATCCAGGTAGATCTGATGCTGGAGGAGTGGCCCAGGGCGGCGCTGCAGAGGCGACAATCCCGGTAGCGCCACAGCATCCCATCTTGGAGGGCAAGGACACATGGATTGCGGCCGAAGACGGAATCAGGCTGAAAAAGGGAGACGTTCTTGCAGTGGATCCTTCACCCTTGCCAGCTGGCCATGTAGTCCTGGGAGATAAGGGTGTCATACCTGAAGGGGCTGGTTTTCTGCTCATTCGCAAAGTAGCAGCCGGAGATGTACCGAAGTATCAGATCGGGGACATCCGAGTCCTTCCTGTCAGCTTTGATGCGCAAGGCGTCAGGCGGAAGGAGTTCACCATCGCTGTTGGCCAGATGGATGATGATCCCCTCGTCGGGGGAGGCTTGCAGCTAGCAGGGCCCAGCTCCGCTTTGAAGCTGCTGAAGGACATGCGAGATCAACAGTTCACGCCAAGCACCTTTCATGAACATTGGGTGCGCTCGTCGGAGGTTCCAAGAGGCGACAGGTCCATCTATGAACATGAAGTGCTATCACGCATTATGGACTCCATGATCATTGTTGATCAGCTCAATGTGCCGGCGCTTCAGTCTGCTGAGCTGATCTTTCGACGGCTTCAAGTAATTCGGCAGGCTCACAAAGGATCTCCCGGAAACCCCGATTACAGCAGCGCGGACCACTACATGGGGTGGAAGTACAAGAAGGCTGCAGCTGGTGTGGACAGTGACTTGTCTGCGTACGTTGCGAATGAGCTAAAGAGCGAGGCCACGATCTTGAAGGAGTCAAGAAAGGCAAGAGAAGAAATTGCCGCACGCCGCCGACCAGGCAAGGGCCCTAAGGGGGCTCAGCCTGAAGGTGGCGCGGGCTCATGAGAAGTCCACGCAGGCCGCATCCAGGGGTCGAGGGTGCGGCAGTTGAGCCAACGGCCCACTGCATGCTACAGTCCGAGAATTCAGTTCAGGGGGCTTCATCTGGTGACCAGCGCAACCGCGAGATCTTCCCACTGCCATTCTGCAGCGGTGTTCCACGTCATTCTGGTCTTTCCGTGAGTGCTCGTCGGAGGCGCGCTAAGGTGCGGCAGCAAGTGGAGGTGACCAATTCAATCATCCAAGTGTTGAACGAGATGTATGCCCCTAGCCATGACGGCGACTTTTGTGACTCTGCTGAGACGGCAGCTCAAGGCGCGGCTCAACATGAGATTTTTAAGGCGGTAACGAGATGTCATCTGCCTGAAACAATTTTGTCCGAGCGTGAAGCTGTTAAAGAGCTTCTGCATACCAGCCTGAGCTACGATGGTTCAGATGCTACCACGACGGTGCGGCCCTACGAGAGGGGCCTCGTCAGCATCCCATCCGGTGGACACAACGCTGTGGAGCTGGGAGAGGTGCTGGACGAGGGCGGCCGAGACATCGTAGAGGACCCCGCCAGATGCATGTTACTCAGTGAGGATGAGTGGGGAGATGTGGCAGAAAGGCAAGCTGGGTTCACTCCATACATGGATGAGCGATTGAAGAAGGACCCTTTGCTTTACTGTTCATTTGTGAAGGACTTGGTGGAGTCTGGGATGGTCAGCTTTACCACTGCTCCAGAGGACCTCGTCACGCCTTTCTTTGTCGTCAAAAAGAACTTGAGATTGAGATTGATTTTGGACTGTCGAGGAGTAAACCGACGGTTCCGGCCTCCTCCTCCTTTAGCGCTCGGCTCAGGATCGTCATGGAGTCAGCTTACAATACCGAAAGCAAACACTCTGTATGTGGCGCAGTCCGATATCAAGGATTATTTTTACAGCCTACTTCTTCCCGAATCTCTCCGTCCCCTTTTCTGTATGCCCGCGATCCCGGCAGACTGTTTGAGCAGGTGGGGCATTGGCACTCATTTGTGGGACGGGCGACATCGAGAAGGTTGGGTATGGCCGATGCTGAGGGTTGTGCCGATGGGCTGGAACTGGGCCATGTATGTAGCGCAGAGGGTCCACCAACATCAGTCCATGATTGGAGCTGGCCTATCTTGGGACCGAGTTCTGGTTGACAATAAGCCAGCTCCTGAGCTCAGCGATGGAGAACCTGTTCTTTTACCTTATGCTGACAACCTCAACGTTGCGGGGACTGACCCTGTCAAGGTGCAGGCTGCCAAGGACGGTGCGGTTGCTCGACTGCGAGGTCTAGGCTTCCTCGTGCATGAAGAGCTTGATGCGACAGACGTAGCTCAGTCTTTGGGGTATCATATTGACGGGCGTCGGGGTATTGTTTCCCCGATTCCAGACAGGCTGCAGCGGGTCGTTCTGTGCTTCCAGTGGCTCTGGAGGAGGCCGCGGGTTACAGCCAGGACGGTGCAGAAACTACTTGGTCACGCAGTCCATTTTATGCTGCTTCGGAGGGAGCTTCTTAGTGTGATGAGGGGGCTATATGACTTTATTCATCGCGTTGGGAGTGGCAGACATCGTCTTTGGGCAGGTGCAGCTCGTGAAGCGCGGTGGCTGTCACACTTGCTGCGGATTTGTGCTGCAGACCTCAAAAAACCTTGGTCAGATTGTGTCTCAGCATCGGATGCTTCTCTGAGCGGCATCGCTGTCTGTGTGCGGAGCGCTTCGCCCTCACAAGTTCAGGCCATGGGCACTGTGCGTGAAGGTTGGAGGTTCAAAGGTGTTTCTCCAGAAGATAGGCCGAGAAGCGTGCTTCATAAGCCTGGAGACCCGTTTGAAGACCCCTCGACGGTCAAACCTCTGGAAGTACGTCCT